GCCGATTTGTGGTGGTGGAGGTGGTGGGCTGGTGGGTGAGCAAATGATTTTGGACGTTGGGGAAGAATTTTCCATTCGGGAGAGAGCGTGATGAGACTCAGATTGAATATGTCATTAGTTGAATTAATGTAGTGTTATTGTAAATATTAAAAAATTAATTATTGTACGAAATTTGGGAAACAAATGAAGCCGAATCGAATGGAACTGAACCCGAACGGTTCCATAAGTAAATTTGGAACTGACGATTCCACTCACTAAATACCCTGAAATTCGGGACCATATCTAGCACTATCAATATCTGAGTATATAGAAACCCCATTCTTTATTATAAACCACCAGCTAGTAGTGTTGAAGACCGAATTTAAATAACATAATGAGGTCCATCTCTAAAGCTTAAACTTTTAAATAAGATGATTAACATGGTATTAAAGACACGAGAAAGACCTTGGTTCAAGTCTTACCATCAACCCTACGAAAATCGTACCCATGACAGACCTTTAATGAAAAAAATGAATCCTGCAAGGGTGTGTACTGAAAACTAACTTTAAATAATAAATTTGGCCCCTCTTTATAGCTTAAGCTTTTAAATGAGACAGATATCAACTTCCACTTAACAAAACAATTAACATTAAGGGTATAATAATTGAATGGACACCATGACCTAGAACTCAAATGAAATGAAAGAGAGAAAGAAAGCAACCAGATCCCTCGCTGTCTGAAACAGTTCTCTAACATTTGATGCACTTTGGCCCACCCAGAGACCAGCTTCCAACTGTTGGGCTTTAATTTCAACAACAGGCACTTTTGCTTCTGCTGCTATAGCTAATGCTAGGGATGTTTTCCCAGTTCCTCTCTCGCCAACGATGAGAACACCCTGTGATGTCATGGTTGTACGATTCAGACAAAGGTATAAGATGTAATATCTTAGCCTCGCGAAACATCAAGACTGAAATTGTGATGGGTACAAATGTTAAGCAAGCACTATGAATTGATTGCTTATAAAACATACTCCATAAACAAGATAATGTCTTGTTTAGCTTGACCACACAAATAAGAAAAAAATGCTTAAATGTACTCCATAAACAAGAGAATGTCACACGCAAAGGATGTCTCAAAAACGACATACCCGAGGTGCACGAGCTCCCATTTCTTGAAATACACGAGGATTCTGCAGAGACGCCACAACTTCATTGATTTCTTCCCTCATAGATTCAACGCTAGTAAAGTCTCTCAACCTTATGGGAGGATTTTTAACCCTCTGAAGTTAAAGAAAAAGTGAGGGCTTTGGCAATTTAATATAGCAGATGTCGACACAAGTCAAACAACAAGAAGATAAATTGAGAATAGAATGAGAACCTTCATTTTATCAAAAGCAGTGCTTATTGGGTCAACACCATCCTTCTTCTTGCGTTTTATTCTCTTCATCCTATATTTAAAATAAGCTTTCTGCAAAATAGCATAAATGTATAATCTACTGGACAATAATTTATACATGAAAAATTATATAAATAAAGGTTTGTCAATAACTGGTTTGCTTTCCTGTCGAATGCTGCATAATTCTTCAAAATCATTAAATGCAAAAACATTCGTAATTTCATCAACACTTTCAGAAGCAAGGATTTTCCCATTAAACTATTCGCATCATTTAAACTGATATCTAGGAGAGGGTAAGTCCAGAACGAGTTGAGAGTGTCAGAATCATAATAGAAAATAGTGACTAACTTCAATCTGCCATCCACATATGCATGAAACAATTCGTATTGAAAATTCAGTAGCAAGGGTAAAATTGTACCACTCTCCGTAACTTCCTTAAGTTGGGATCTCTCCGCAAAGGCCCAAAACCAAGAATTCTTGGAATTTTCCTCTTCATATATCGGAACGCATTAAACAATATGTATCCATATATGATAGTTCTAACTAAAAACCAGAAGTACCACTGAAATTCATCTTTTTTCCTTGATTTAAAGTTTGTTTCAGCCTCAGATTGCCACTTCAAGTACCAAGTTGAGCCGACAGATACATCTGAATATTCTGGCCAAGCCATACCCAACTGCATCCTCACCTGTAGCAAAAATCAAGAGAATTGTCCAAAAAGTATTAAATCAAGGATCCCACAGCAAAAAGCAGTATCTGTAAGAGATAATGATAAGACAAAGAGAGAGGTATCAGAATATGGTACTTGAGTTATCAGAAACCGCTACTCAATCAGTTACCTGATAAGGAATAATGAACTCCACAACAGGGAAAACGATCATCATCATTATGTCGTCATTAATGTTTTTTATTTTTTTGAAAGTCCACTCTTTTGCATGTGAAACAATGCTACTATTCCAAAATCCATTAAAGCACTGATAGGATATCCTCGTTATTAAGAGAAACTGTTGATGCAAATCTAACTCCGAAAAAGGAATCCACATAAGCTGAACTGCAGTAGGGATGCCCGCTGCAATCATTCTCAAATACAAACCATCAAACCCACCAAAATCTTCAAACAGCATGTCATATTCCTGATATGAGATTAATAACATCAAAAGCCTCAAAAAAAAAAAATTCAAATTTGAAATGAAAGAGAAACTGTGCAACTAGCACCCTACTTTAACATCTACATAATACTCCTTGTCCGTTCCCTTGAGTGTGATATACATGGCAGCCCAGTCATGCCTGATTAGAGCACTCTGCACAACTTTCTTGGACACAGCATAAGGAACAGCTATTGGGTCCATCTCCCACCTATTCCGTTCTTCATTATACCAAGTCTTTGAGTCTAACCTATCCCGATACAGAAGGATGCGTTCCTACAATCAACATTTCCAAGGCATAGATGATGAACTTCCAGCAAAGATAACAGCAGTTTTTGTAAGATGCAAAAAAAACTGAAACTTTCACATAAATGTAAACAGATGCCCTTGAGAAGTTATAAGAACAAAAAAAATGAGGCATAGTTTAGACAGTAAGATTTGCATGTATTTAATGAACTGGCAGAGCAGTAGCCTCAATTCTAAAACTATCGAGCAGTTTTTTTCCATAACAGCATGCCATACAAAAAGCAAACGAGATATTTACAGAATTTCACAAGAGGTTCAAATGCTTTTTATATTGGATTAAAAAGACTGATATTTTTATCAAAAGAGAGAAAGAAAATGAATAAGGCCAATAAGGCTTCTCGTCCTCTTAACTGACACAAACAGAAGCACTGTTTCTCACAGTAGTGCCCTAGAGCATCTGACTTCTGTGAATTTCTAGAAAGACTTGACACAATACCAAGTGAAACAAATGTTTAGTATTTTACTAAAATCTCACCAGAGAATAAGATGTCTTTACCAATTGTAATGCATGATCAATTAAAAAGTCACCAGAATTAAAAAGCATTTGTTGGTGAGGAATGAAGGTAGAAAGTCGGGCAATTGATCATAGTGAGCATAATTTTTTTTAGAGGGAAAAAGATATGACCACGATTCCTTAACACCAAACAAGTGCTGAAATTTATTGTATTATCAATAAATTAATACGATACTGTTCCGGCAGATGGGCATGTAGTGCATATATAAACTAGATTATTACAACTATTTTTCCTGTAAAACCTTACCTGTCTTTCAGCCACATACTTTTTACCTAATTCAGCATTTTCCAGCAAATTTCTTTTAAGGTCTGCCTTAACTTCCTCACGCCATTTCTTCCAACCATGAAATAAATGGAGGCCAACGGCTTTTGGAACTATGACTTCCTTCTTTCCAAACATCCATTTCAACTCAATGTCCGGGAAGCCCTTCACAACCTCATCCATTGGAGTCATTGCTAAAATACGTCTCTCAACACCATGTTTTTTCATACTTTTTCTAATGCTAGTCTCCAGGTTCTTTTTCATCTCAGCTGACTCCCTGAGTACCAGTTGTATCCGATGAGAAAAAGCTGTTGAATCTTGATTAAAGAGATATCCTGAATCCTCATTTTGCAAAGCACTTGGCAAAATTATTTGCTCCCATAATTGTCTCTGCGCACGTTGCAGTTCTTCCTGAATCTCGACTTTGGGAAGCTTGGTAACAGGGCCTTTCGGCAAGCTGTGAGCACATATGACCAAAAGCTAGAATAAGCCATGAAAGTGGAACCAGGTCCCAGGAGTAAATATCACATATATTGCAACATAAAGACAATACCTACATAGACTAATGGAACTTGAAATTGCTTAAATGTGCAGTTTCAAGCGACAGAGTAAAGAAAACACTACTAAACTTCAGAACTCTTGAGCTCATGCCAGAAAGATTAAACAAATTAAAGAAAAATGCATTTATCTGTTGTCTACAAAACGATACTTCGAAATAAAAGAAAAGCTGCCTTTACAATTTTAGGTAGTTGATTGACTAAACAACAAACTAAGCCTTGTTATCAATAAATTTGGATCAACTACATGAATCCCTCTTTTGCCACTCCCTTGAGTTCAACACATTCTACCCAACGCAACTTTAGCAAACACAACAGGTTAGGTTAGATTCTAACCCTCCTTATTACATGTTCAANNNCTAACCCTCCTTATTACATGTTCAACTGAGATTGCACAACTCTTATGAATAGAAACTCTTTTAGGTCTATGCAAAACATTTCCTCACCACCTAAATCGGCGTTTCCTTAATTTATCCTCAATCAATGTCACTTGTGGCACTTATTCTCGTTTCTTAATCTATCCATTTTAGTATGTCCACTCATCCATCTTAGCAACCTCCTTTCTGCTACATTCGTCTTAGGAATCCTTGAGCAGCCCAACAATCATTACATAATGCATAGTAGCTCTAATAACTCATCTTTAGAACTGACCTTTTAACTTTATGGGTATCTCCTTATTACACAATTCCTGTAGCAGGTCTCCATTTCATCCAACCCGCTCTAATCCCATGCATTACATCCAAGGTTTAAAAGGGCAAAACTAAGTACTGAAGCCTTTTTTCTTTATAAGGTGAGGCGTAAGCCTCGAGGTGGTTTGAGGCGTAAGCCTCACAAAAGACAAAAAATCTATAATACAAGACAAAAATTAAGCAATGAGATGACTAGTTAACAAATTGAATTAACAGTTTAACACATCATATATGCATACACATACGAATTCCAGAAGCATGTTGATACAATTATTGGTATATAAGTACTCTCACAATGAATTCCAGAACCAAATTCTAGAAAGAAAGTCAATGTCATGGAAGCTATAAAATGATTTTTTGCACGTATATGAGCAAAAATAAACAGTAAAACTAACTTCTAATCATCCTGGAGTGTTTATCCCGAGATTTGTTGAATATTCAATGTACCGAAAGTCAGACAAAAGTTCAATTAAATTCAGATTTTGAGGTCTATAACAACTGATGCAATATCGCACGGTAACGTGAACAAGACAAAATTAATTAATGAGATGATTATTTAACAAAAAATTAAGTAAATGCTTCACACTGGTCATTAGAAAACTGGTGAAAGAACTGGAAATTGTAATAATGTAAGAAGAAGAAATACCTGATGAATGAAACCAGTGAGGCCGGCCAGAGCAGAAGATGAAGAAGACGATCCTTTTTTTTAGTTTTCTAACTTTTCAGTTCTTTTAAAATTTTGGCTTCCTATATCATTTATTTTTCTAGGTTTTTTGTTGTTTTGTTTGGGCCCAAAATGGCTTTCTAATTGGCCCTTTTCTCTTTAAAAAAATGCTATTTCTAAATTCTAATTTGTATTAATAAATTTGAAAAAAAAAATTTAGAGAGGCATGCGCCTCAGCTTTAGAGGCGCATGCCTCCTATTTTTGCCTCAAAAACAAACGCCTCGAGGCAAAACATATACGCCTCACACTGAGGCACGCCTGAGGAACGCCTTTTCATACCATGATTACATCCTCTCACATTCCTTCATTTTTTTTTGTGTTTTGGTTCTTCTCAACCTAATCCTTTAAATTTCAAAATATATTCCTTCAGAGTTCTAAATTACAACATTTTTAATCTCATCAATTAAATTGTATCATCAAGGAATAACATGCACAAGGGATATCATCTTGAATATGTCATGTGCGGAGGCAACTGATTTTACTAAGCCCCTATTTGACAACCATTATTTCAAAACATGGTATCATGACCCATTAAACTCTAACGAGCAATTCAATCCGATTAAGACTCAAAAAAGTGAGTATAAGAATTTCAAGATTGATCCGCTCAAAGGAGTCACCATCTTGCGAGACACGTTAAGGGGATAAAATCTCATATCAAATAAAAATGAAAACATAGAACAACTTATAAAAGTTTGGGCTACTCCTCTTCACAAAGTTGACCTTTTAAGGTGGAACCCAAGTCTTAACAATGTCACTCTAGTATCACATACTCCCTCAGCTTCAAAATGAATGGTATAGTTTGAATTTTCTGGTCAACCAAAACCCTTTGGAGGCAATATTTCATGTCATTTAATTTACTTGACAACAAAACTACTTTCGTAGTGCTAAAATTCAAATCATATACTGCCATTCAGAACATATTAGGAACAAGAGACTAGAAGAAATCTAAAATACTCCAGACTAAACCATTTAATCTACTGGCAAAAGTCATATCCATTCACTTAGAAATTGTGAAATCCTCATTTGAGTATTTTACAGAACAATAGATATTGAGATACATTATCGAATGCAAAGCCACCAACTCTTTAAACTTGCACATCAATCATTAACCTTTTTAGCATCCAGAACATACATTAAATTTGCAAATCATGAATGTAGCTCGTCGTGATCTTTCCAGCATAGAGGAAACACTTCAAATTAAAATGAAAACATAGCTTTCTGTCTATACGACCACAAACTGATAAAGTTTCAATCTCTCAGTTATTTAAGAATATAAAAACAGTTATTTATGTTACCTCTGAATGTTTCGCTGCCTCATTTCCCGTAAGAAGCCCTCGACCAAGGCCTCACACTCCCTCTCGATAAACAAAAGCTCCCTGACACCAATGCTCAAGGCCAAGGTCTCCTTCCTCATTATCGAATCCTCAATCTCCCCAATTCTCTCCCAAATCCCATTATACTCACTCTCCCATTGCCTCATTTCTTCCTGGAAGCTCTCAATTCTTTCATCTCCTCCTCTTGCTTTCCTCGTCAAATTATCTTCCTCCCTTTTAGCATTCAATATTTTATCCTCAATCACCTCAGAGCTCTTCATCAACTCTGCCTTTTCCCTGTTCAAAACCCTCATCTCAGCATAAAGTCCGTTCATTATCTCATCTTGCAAGGCTTTCTTGGTCGTTTTGACCTCCTTCAATGCAACCTGGACATTTTCAAAATTCTCTTGGCCAGGACTTTTGGCATCCTCTATTGTCTTGAGCAGCCTAGCTACAGTCTCTAATAATTTCCGAGTACAGTGTGAGTGCTTGTGACCTTTTTCCTTTTTCTCTTCACCCTTAGTNNNNTTTCCTTTTTCTCTTCACCCTTAGTTTTCCTCCCAAATAATCCACGCACAACCGCTGAAGGTGAAGCGACAACTGCAAAAGCAGGTTGCTGGAACCCCGAAACTGGGCAGAATAACCCGATAACGATACAAAACAATGTATACACTACAGGCTTCACAATGTCAAGTGCATTCTTGTCGTTACATTGATCGAAATTGGGTGGGATTGTCCTCTGTTGTGGTTCAATCTTGTTAATCTTATTAATAACAGATGACTGGACAATTGGAAGTGAATATGGAGGTTTGCTGTGTGAAAAGCATTTAGCTGAAAATGAGAAATTTCCAAAGCGGTTTATTTTGAGTTTGGTTTTCCATTTGGGTTTCGGGTCCGAGTGATAAACTGGGAAAGTGAATAAGAGAGTTTGATGGGGAGAAAATACAGCGGAATTCATCTGCACATATGGAATCGAAGATGAAAGGATTTAGGACTGTGTGTTTTCAATTTCATCGGCAGAGAGAAAGAGATAAGCCCCGCCGGTTTGGGTTTTGGGGTTTAGAATTTGGGAGAAGTTATTGGAATTAACCCAAATTGAACAAAAGCCTTCTCAAAACACCCTTTATCATTTTAAAAATTTAAAATTTCTAAAATACCCTTAATATGAAAAGATTCAAAACAAGTCATTCCAATATTAAATAAATTTCATTTTAATCTTTAAAACTTTAATTCTAATTTAGAATTCGACAAATTATTTGTCCCTTACAATAAAAATTTAA